GAGCAGCACCAAGGGCCCGATAAAGTTGGCCTCAAATCGTACATTTCAGCCAGAGGAAAGCAACAATGGAAGGAAGCGGACCAGGCGTTCGTGAACCATTAGGGGGCACGACAGTATGTGGGGCATTGCAGGGGGATACCACAGGCCGGGCCTTGCAGAGGGGATACCACAGGCCGAACGGGGCCCCCTACGTGGGTTCGCCATAAGGGCTCGCCTGGCTGCAGGTCAGAGGCATGGTATGCAAACGGATTGATGCCATCCAGAGAAGGCTCAAGCTGTGGATGCGCAACTTTTTATTGCCTGGCTTTAGCTCATGTCAAAGGGTGGCTGCTCGATTCGAGCCTCGGCGGATTGAGACGGTCAGAGGCAAGTTCAGCTCGAATCGGCTGGGCCCGAGGCCACGCGTTCGATCATCACCGTCGACGTTGAGGCCAGGCTTGGCCCTGCGGTGAATACAACCTGCGAGCTGCACACTCCCGTATGATTACGATTGTATAGTCACGATGTTGTGTTTCGATGTAAGTTTGTTGTTGAGAATGTTGCGCTGTTTGAACTCAAATCAAATTAAAATCAACACAGCCAAGTTCTGTTAATTCAAAATGTATGATCTACTCATAAGTGACACAGGAAAGCGTCGAGCAGCCGCCGGGCTCGATCCGTGACGGTCATGACCAGCTCCACGGCAGAAGAATTCCTCGTGAGCGCGTGCACGATGGAACATTTGGAGTTCACACCCATGGCCTTCTGCCAGTCATCCCCAGTGCCCTCGTCGTCATCGTGGATGTTGCGGCCAAGCTTGCGCATGCTGCGGATACGCACTGCAAGCTGCGCGTCCAGGTCGAAGCCAGAGGTGAGCAGGGAAGCGTCGGGCAGCAGCCAGATCCGATCCGTGGCGGACATGTCCGACTTCACGGCAGAGGCTTTCGTCGTCGGCTCGTTCTCTCGGTCAACAAATCCACTGCTGCACGGAGTGCTTGTCAAAGAGGCCAAGTCTGTATAGTCCTTCCAGCCCCGTCTTGCACAGAATCACAAGGAATTGCGACGAGTGCACTGCAGCAGTACTCCCGTCCCGTGATGTGGCAGGTATCGGTCTGGCCCTCCCTCATGCGGTCCACGTAGCTCTTTAGGCTGATCGTCTCGTTCCCTGGCTTCGGCGTCGTGCGCACCAGCTCCTCTCCACTACGCCATCTCTTCGATCCGCGCCCTCCAGTCCACGACATCCGCGATGGAATGCCGGGGGAAGCAGACACTAAGTCGAGAGCTCGAGGAAGAACAGTGGAGCCAGCGACCCACAAATAATTTCTATATACGACATCCGTGTTGGCAAGATGTACGGGGATGCCTCGTTGAAGAGGCAGGAAAGGAACAATGATGGGAGCACGGGCGCCTGACGCCGTGCTCCTGACCCAGATGTCTTAGGAGGAGGAGGAGGAGGAGGAGGAGGAGGAGGAGGAGGAGGAGGAGGAGGAGGGGGAGGGGGAGGGGGAGGGGGAGGACGGAGAGGAGGAGGAGGAGGAGGAGGAGGAGGAGGAGGAGGAGGAGGAGGAGGAGGAGGTGGAGTGACGAGGACGAGGAGGAGTCACGAGGACGAGGACCCGAACGCTTCGTGGCCCAATATGGAGCACCGAAGAGGCTACGCACCACTGCGGCATGCACAATTGCACATGGTTGGGTCCTTCGCCAGGATCGTTCTTTTTTTGTCCGGCGGATGCTCGTTCGTCATGTGACGCCGCAGTGATTCGCCGTCTCGCAGTCTCGCGCAGCGCAGCAATTTGACATGACGTCTTTGTCTCAACGGTCCCGCGGCGGCGAGGTCGACGCCCGCGGAGGGGCCATGCGGGCCCGAGGCAGCGCCCAGGATGAAGCCAACTTGCGCTTCATGAAGCCAAGCTGCGAGGTTAGCGGGCGGTTTCGTCGGTCCTCGGCGGCGGCGGTCGCGCCTCGGCCGACGCGGGGCGGCGGCAGCTCGCCGGCATTCCGCCGCCGCTGGGGCGGAGGGATCGGAGGCGGAGGGGCGTTCGTGGGGTATTCCTTCCGTGGGGGCCTCTCGCAGACGCAACGTTGGTCTGAGAAGGAGCAGGTACCCATACCGCTATCTTTCCCCCGTTCTCCCTTTCTCGCGCCTCCTGGCTGTCGTCGCCACCGTTGGATTCGCTTCGAGCCTCTGGTCATAACGCACGCCGGAAGCGGGCCGGGGAGTAGCGGTATCGGGGCCTTTTGGGTTTCCCCAGCTGGGGGGGGCACAGGCGAAGGGGCAACAAGGTTCGGGAGTCTAGGTTTTCGAGGTTTCGTCGCGTGCTCTCGGCGTTTTTCTGGCCTCGGGGTGCCTTCGGCGGCTGCGTCTCGTCCTGAGCTGCGCCTCGTCCGGAGCGGCCGCCGGAGAGCCGAGCTCTGACCCGGAAGCCAGGGGGCGCTACGGTGGGGGCGTTGGTTCCGGGATGGACCCAGGGGGCTTCAGACCATGGAGGGTTCCTTATCCCATGGGGGCGGCGGTGATATCCATGGCAACGTTCCACTGGCTCCCAGGCCCTGGATTCCTTACCGAAGGTTTCCTTATCCCATGCCTCCACCGTAGCGTGCGGGACAGGTTCAAGGGCAGGAGGAGGAGGAGGAGGAGGAGGAGGAGGAGAAGGAGGAGGAGGAGGAGGAAAAGGAGGAGGAGAGAGGAGGAGGAGGAGGAGGAGAGGAGTAAGGATTAGTAGGAGGAGGAGGAGGAGGAGGAGGAGGAGGAGGAGGAGGAGGAGGAGGAGGAGGAGGGGGGGTGACGCATCGGCCCCCAACCGCTCGTTCGTCGCCGCCGGGGGCCCGATGGCCAGCCCCGTCCAGGAGCGTGCGGGTTCGCCAACGGCTTAAAGTCGGCCTTGTCCCCCTACAGGGGGATTTTCGACGAAGAAAAAAAATACCCCCAAAATAGTCAGAAAATACTCCAAAAATAGTCTGGGGACTATTTTTTAAATATTTTTTGACCTTTTTGGAATATTTCTGGGGTATTTTTATTTTTTCGTCGAAAATCCCCCTGTAGGCGGACACGCCTGACATAACCAACGGCGCCTGTCGCCGATCTATCGGCGACGTGTACTGCAGAGTCGAGCTCCGTGTTGTCCCCCCCCCTCCTCCCGAGCCGGTGCCCCCGTCACGTTCCCCCTGAGTCTCCACATGGGGGGCCTTCCTTGTCGCCAGGGGTGGGCCCTCCTCGAGTAAGTGCTGGTCCAAGCGCGCCTCAGCGATGCTCATTTTCTTTCGGGGGGAAGGGGATGGAGAAATAACCAGGAGGAGGAGGAGGAGGAGGAGGAGGAGGAGGAGGAGGAGGAGGGGGGAGAGGAGGAGGAGGAGGAGGAGGAGTCGGGGGATGATGATGATGATGATGATGATGATGAATGATGAGATGATGATGATGATGATGATGATGATGATGATGATGATGATGATGATGATGATGATGATGATGATGATGATGATGATGATGATGCTGATGATGATGATGACGATGATGATGATGATGATGAGGGAGGAGGAGGAGGAGGAGGAGGAGGAGGAGGAGGAGGAGGAGGAGGAGGAGGAGGAGGAGGAGGGGGAGAGAGGAGGGGACATGACGAAGGTGTCGGGCTCAATTTCGGGTGTCTCCGTTGAACATTCTGTACGTTCTTCCCTCCGGGGGAGAAAATCCGGGGACTCGTATCAAGGATGGATGGGGATCTTGCTTGAAGCTGATGTTTTTTCTGGTCAGGGACTGTCCACTGCGATGTCCTCCGAGGGAGGGAGCTGACTACACAGCGCCAGCGCAAGTCAGCGAGGCTATCGCGGGGCGATTGTTACAGGCGAGCCCTGTGAGTTGCGCCGGGGCTGTGGTGTCCGCGCCCTCCTCTCCCACGATTGCCCCGCGCAGCATCATCGATTCGTTATTTTTTCCATACCGGAAGTTTCGGTGCAGTTTGGAGTTTTTCGATCCTCGAAGGCGAGGCCGTTTTTGGAACGCCTCAGCCGAATATATGTTCAAGGGGACCATGATTAGCCATTAGCCCCCCCCCCCGCACCCGAAGTGGGAACTCGACAAGAAGGAGGACGTGGATGCGGAATAGGAGGAGGTGCAGGAGGGCACGAGGAGGGTCAGGAGGAAAAGGATGTTGATAGTGAGTGGTATGATGATGGTGATGGTGACGTTGCTGATGGTGACGGTGGTGATGTTGATGCTGATGCTGATTTTGCGGATGATGATGTTAACGGTGAGGTTGATGGTGTTGGTGATGGTATGATGACGGCGATGCTGATGATGTTGATGGTGATGTTGATGGTGAGTATAAGGATGCCGATGATGGCTATGAGTATCATGGCACTGGCGATGATGATGATTACGATGCCGATGCTGCTGATGATGATGCTGCTGATGATGATGTTTGTGATATTGGTGCTGCTAATCATACTGATGGTGATGCTGCTGATGCTCATGTTGTTGATGGTCATGGTGATCGTGGTGGCCATAGTTCATGCTGGTGAGGATGATGCTGCTGCTGCTGATGCTGCTGCTGCTGCTGCTGATGATGATGATGATCATCGAGATGGTGATAATTGCAACGAGCCAGCAACATCTCCGGGACTGTGCGAGAGCGCCAAGGGTACTCGCGCCCTCGCGCGGCGCGAGGGCGCGAAGCCATGCCAGGAAGCTGCACGCGCATGACCTGGTCGGCCTGGGCGAGGGGATGGCAGCACACCTGGCCGCAGGTCTTTCCAGCGCTCGGCCCCTGCGTGGCCAGGCGCGGTGAGCCTCCTGGCGCTGCCCGGGGAGCCTCCGAGCCCCGAGCCTCCGCTGCTGCCACGGCCGTGCCTGCACCTGCCGCCGCTCGCGCGGGGCACCGCGGGCGTCGTCGTCGTCACCTTCAGCGTCGTCGCGCGTCGTCGTCTCCCCCTCCCTCCTCCTCCCGCTTCGTCGCGCCTGATGGTCCGCTGCCTGCTCAGCCTCGAGTTTGTGCTCGTCTTGTTTCTGCTCCTCCTCCTCCGCCTCGAAGCCATTTTGGCTCAAGCTCTTTTTAGGTGCCCCGAGGCGCGCCCGCGTTCCCCCGAGGCGCGCCCCCCGCGCTCCCGCCCCCTCCCCCGCCTCTGCGCGCCGCACTCTCCCTGCGCGTGAGAAAGGGCGTCGGGGGACTGACGAGCGAGGAAGGGCCCCGCCGCCGCCGCTGCCGCCGCGGGGCTCTGCGGCCATGACGGGCGAGCCCGCCTCCTTCGAGCAGGTGCTGCAGACCCAGCTGGAGGGCCTGCGGAGGAGTCTCGTCGGCGAGCACGGCAGCCGCCTCGCCGCTTCCGCGGAACACCTCAGGGCGCGCGTGGCCTCGCTGGAGGAAGAGAACCGGCGCCTGCGCAGGCAGCTCCCGGGCCGCCCCGGCGAGCCCTCGTCGCCGTGCGGGGGCGCGCGGCCTCCCGCGGCCGCCACGGCGGCGCAGGTGGAGCTCGCAGGCGTGCAGCCCCCGCGGCCGCCCCCGGAGGGGGCCGTGAGCCCGCCGTGCTCCCCTGCGGCCACGTCGGTGGCGGCCGACCTCGACGGCCCCACGGAGGTCCTGGTGGCCACCGTGGCGCCCGGCTGCGTGCCGGCGCCGTCTCTGGGCGAGGGCGCCGCCGTGGCCCGGCCGGGGCGCCAGGTGCCCCGCGGCGCCCCGGAGCCGCTGAAGGACCCCGACCTGTGGTGGGCCAGCGGGGTGCAGAGCGAGGGGTCCGCGGCAGGCTCCCCCCGCGGGCTGCGGCCCCACTCGCGCACCGCCAGCACCGCCGACCAGCAGGTCTTGCCGCGCACGCCCGTCGAGGACCGGTCTCCCAGGGGCGAGCCCCAGACTTTCAAGGTGCTCGACACCTGGGAGCGCGGCCGGCACAAGATAGGCAGCCGCCGGCAGTCTTTGCAGAGCCTGTGCCGGAAGTCGACCGCTTCCTCCAGCAACACCATTTGGGCGCTGCTCGGGGAGGAGGACGGGGACCACGAGCCAGCATGGTGGGAGGAGCGGCTGGAGAGGCTCGTTGTGGAGCCGAACTCCCTCGCCCACATCTGCTGGGAGTCCGTCGGCCTCGGCCTCGTCTTCTACGACGTCGTCACGGTTCCTCTGCAGCTATTGGACCCCTTGTGCGGGGTCGTGTTCCTCCTGGCGTCGTGGCTGGCGCGCCTGTTCTGGACCCTGGACGTGCCGTTCGCCTTTCTGACGGGCTTCGTGTCGCCCCAGGGCAGGGTCGAGCTGCGCGCCGCAAAGGTGATGGCCAACTACGCGAGCAGCCGTCTGCCGCTGGACCTCGGCGTCCTCGCTTGCGACTGGACGGAGGCCCTAGTGTCGAGCGCCAGCGGCGGCGGCGACCCGACGCTGCTGCGCCTCGCGGCGCTGCTGCGGGGCGTGCGGCTGGTGCGGCTGGTGCGCCTGACGAGGGCTCAGCACATCGCCGCGCTCGCCTCCCAGCACGTCCGCTCCGAAGGCGTCAAGCTGTCCGTCTCCATTGTTTTGATTATGTTCGCGCTGCTGGTGCTGATTCACGTGATTGCGTGCGCCTGGCACGGCGTTCGCTATGGCTTTGAGCTGGGCGCGGCCCGAGACCGCGGACTCGGCGAGGACTACTCTGAGGCGTTCCACTGCGTGCTGGCGCTCTTCTTGGGGGAGCACCTGGTGCCCCCTCAGAGCGTGGGCGAGCGCGTCTTCACCATCCTGGTGCTGATCTTCAGCTTCATGGTGTCGTCCTGCTTCGTCGGTTCCCTCACCACCGCGATGACCCAGCTGCGGTTCATCGCCGGCAAGCGGTCCACGCAGTTCGCCGCCCTCAACCACTACCTCTCCGACGCAGGCATCTCCCGCGAGCTGTCCGCCCGAGTGGTGCTCAACGCGCGGCACGCCCTGCGCGAGCAGAAGCGGCACACGCCCGAGAGCAGCGTGGAGCTGCTGCAGCTCATCTCCGACCCGTTAAGGTCCGAGATCCACTTCGAGGTCTTCTCACCGATGCTCGTCGTGCACCCGTTCTTCCACCTGCTCAACGGCGTGAATCCGGCAAGCGTGCGCCACGTGTGCCACGCGTCCGTGTCGGCCGTGTCGCTGTCGCGGGGCGACGTGCTGTTCTCCGAGTTCGAGGTGCCCACAGCGCCGAGGATGTTCTTCGTGCTGCGTGGCCGGCTGAGCTACGCCCGCGGCACGGAGGCGCAGCGGGCCGTCGACCGCACCTGGCTGTCCGAGCCCGTGCTGTGGACGACCTGGGCGCACCGGGGCACTCTGCGCGCCCAGACCGAGGCCAATCTGCTGGCGCTGGACGCTCACAGGTTCGTCAACATCATGAGCACTTTCCCCACGCTGCACAGCCTGAACTACGCCACCAAGTTCGTGGAGAACCTCAACCAGGAGGGGTTCGGCGGCTCGCTGACGGACCTCGGGGCGTCGGAGGACGAAGCCCGGCGGCTCGCCGTGCAGGCCTTCCAGGAGAGCGACCTCAACTTCGAGCCACCCCCCGAGTGGGCCACCGGCCGGCGGATGTCCAACCTGTCCGTGGCGTCGATGCTCTCCGCCACCTCGCGCAGGCTGTCCACGGCCAGCGCGACTCGGGCCAGCCGCAGGATGTCCGGCGCGGCGGTGGTGCCGACGTCGCCGCAGCCGCCCGGGCCGGGCTCGTGAGCGGCCCCGCGCGCGGGCGGCGGGCGGGCCGTGGCGGTCCTCCTGGCCGCCGTCGTGGCCTCAGGACGCGCGACGGCCTGCTCTGGAGGTCTTCGTCGGCGCAGCAGGGAGGCGCGTTTTTATTCTCAGCCACGGTGGGGAGGAGGAGGAGGAGGAGGAGGAGGAGGAGGAGGAGGAGGAGGAGGAGGATTACTACTAATAATAGCACGAAGAATTCGAGCTGCTCCCTTGCCTGCCCCCTTCTGGCAGGCCGGCGCTGCACCGCCTGCTCCTGCCAGCTTCCTTGCCCGCGATCGCCACGGCACGGCGCACCCCCTGATCTCCACGACTGGCCGCACGGCCAGCCGGGCTGCCGAGAACGGCGCGAAGTGGCGCCGTCCGTATGCCGACAGGCGGTGCAAGCGCGAGGGAGGGGGGAGGGAGGGGAGGAGGAGGAGGAGGAGGAGGAGGAGGAGGAGGAGGAGGAGGAGGAGGAGGAGGGGGAGGGAGGGGAGGAACCAATCCCGGTGGTGCCCACCGTCCTCCTCGGGGGTTGCCGGAGGTAAGGCATCCCCAGCTTCTCGCTCCGTTTTGGAGCCCCCTGGGGCCCTCTGGGCCTCGTGGGGCTGGAGGCCGTGGGGGCCTCCGTCGAAAATCCTGGGGGGCACCTTTGGCCAGGGGTACACATGGTTCATTTGTACGTATTCGAAAGTTCTTTGATTTTTTTTGGCCAAGATCATTTCATTTCTAATTGTTCTATTTGGGGCATCTTCCTGGCCACTAGGGGGCCAGGAACAATTAGAAACGAGCACAATTAGAAATGAGCACGATTAGAAGTGAACGACGGGTACTTCTGGCAACACACCCTCCCTCGGGGGCTCGGAGGCCCCCAGACTGTGCGGCGGCAGCACCGTCGTGGCGGGTCCTTCGGGGTCCGAAGGGCGGCTTCCGCACGGTTCTGGGCCTTGGGCCGTGCTCCCATCAGTGTCGTTTTCACCGACCCCCCATCCTCATCCCCTTCGAGACGCCCACCAAATTACCACCCCAGTTGGGGATGCACCCCTCGAAACCCGAAGGGAACGGCCAATATCCCCATCTCGGGGGCTGAATCGGCCAGTGGGGCGCAGGCCACGCCGCTGGGGATGGGGATCGTTCAAACGATGCTTCGAGGGACAGGCCCGACTTACGACTGGGGCCTCCAGGGTCCCAGCACGTTGCGGAGACGGACCGTGCGGTGAGATCTTTCTCAGGCGGGCTTATCCGAGGCAGGGATTTCTACATTACCACCGCCTGGGAAATGGATCTTCGGGAACCCATAGGTAGGCGGTGACATGGACATATTCGGGCCCCCGGGCGCCAAGATGTATCCATGCCCACCGCCCGCTGGGGTCCCAGGACGTCGGTTTCACAGGCGGTGGATACCGATAGATCCCCGCCTCGCAGTTTAGGATCGGAAAGATCGTTCCAGAGCGTTCCCGAATGCCTGCAGAGCGTTGACCAGAGCTCTGGAAAGGCCGCGGCGCCCGCTGCATATCTTCCAGATTCGCCAGATCTCATAGATCCCCGATCTATCCCGATCCGATGTTGTTTCCTTCCTGGCGGCGTTTAGTCTTCCGGGAGTCCTAGGTCGGTCACCGCACGGTCTGTAGCCGCAACGCTTCGGGACCCCCGCAAGGCCTCCTATGATCCGATGCGTTCCGATTCGATTCGCGGGCTGGGCCCGCGATCCCGATCCATGTCCCTCTACAGGAGGAATATTCCAACATAGCTTCAAAAAACGTCTGGGGACGATTTTTCGACCATGTTTGACAATTTGGGGATTTTGTTTGACTTTTTCAGATTTTTCTTCAAAATCCGCCTGTAGGGGGACATGCCGGAACTATCCTACGATCCGATGCGTCGCGATTCGATTCGCGGGCTGGGCCCGCCATCCCAATCCTATTCGATCTGGCTCGATTTCGCTGGCACCAGCAGTGGCCAGCCGCAGCGGGGCGCGGCCATCCGGTGCCGATCCGCTTCGAGACGATCCTCCTGCGACCCGATGCGTTTTCGGTCCGATCCGGTTCCGCGACTCGGTCCAGCTCGGGCCTGCCCCATCGATCCTCCCCGAGCTCGTTCCACTACTCGCAGAGTGCCTACTGCCATTCGTCTGTCCGCCTTTGTGTTTATGTATATCGTGCATTCCCCGCGGCGGATCAAGGCCACTTGCGAGTAGCAACTTTGCGAGTCGTGGAACGCGCTCGTCTAGATTCCCTCCCCCGCCCGCCCCCACCGCCGCCGCCGTGGCCTCCGTGCCGCCGCGCCACCGTGCCCCCGCAGAGGCGAGCGACACCTGCGAGGCCGCGAGCGAGGACGGCGCTAGCTCTGCCCGGTGCTCCTCTTCATCCCTCCCTCTCTCCCTCCTCGTGCGTCTCCATCCTCCCTGCATCCTCCCGGCCTCCTCCCTCCTCTCTCCTCCCTCGAATCCTCCTCATCGTCCCTCCTGCCCGCTCCTCTTCTCTCCTGCCTTTCCTCATCCTCCTCCTCCTCCTCCTGCTCCTCCTCCTGCTCCTCCTACTCCCCCTGTGCCTCCCCCCTCACATGGCTCTGCAGCCTGACCTGTAGCTGCTGGTGGTCGCTCCCTCCTCCTCCTCCTCCTCCTCCTCCTCCTCCTCCTCCTTCTCCTTCTCCTCCTCGTCCTCGTCCTCACCATCATTATCATGGTCCTCTCCGCCATCTTCTCTCTCCTCCTTGCCCCCCCTCCTGCTGTCCAAGCTCATCCTCCTCGTCCTCATGATCATCCATCACCAGCATCGTCATGATCAGCGTCATCATCATCATCATCATCATCATCATCATCATCATCATCATCATCATCATCATCATCATCATCATCATCATCAGCGAAAGCAGCATCAGCAGCAGCATCATCATCGTCAGCCGCATAATCATAATGATAGTCACCATCATCACCATCATTAGCATCAGCATCGTCATCATCATCGTCATCACCATCATCGTCATCACCATCATCATCATCATCATCATCATCATCATCATCATCATCATCATCATCATCATCGTCATCGTCATCGTCCGCATCATCATCATCCTCATCATCAGCATCATACTCATCATCATCAGCATCATCATCATCAGCAGCAGCAGCATCATCATCCTTTCCCTCTCCTTCCTCTCCTCCCTCTCCTCCCTCTCCTCCCCTCATCCTCCTCCTCCTGGTTCCTGGTTCCCGGTGGCTTAAGATCCCAGCGGCTGCAGCCTCTCCCCCAGGGCCGGTCGGCTCTTGCGACTCTTGCGGGGCGGTGATCAAACTAGTGCCAGGCAACCCCTGGAGCACCGCTCCCCATGGGTCACCGGCGGCAGTATTGGTGAGAAGTGCAAGCGTAGAGACGGCAAGCAGACGAGGAGAGGGATGGAGTGAGGAAAGTCAAGCAGTGGCGAAGCGTCCTGGCTCGCCTATAGCCCCACCAAGCAATGTTCTAAGAACCTTTAAAGTGGCTCACACGAAATGTCCTTAGAACATTTCTGGTCGGGACTGTCTTGTTTTGTCGCATCGGGTTTATGTTCGAAGAACATTGGTTATGTTCTTCGAACGTTTTTGGGCTCTAAGAACATTTCGTGGTAGGACTATAGGAATGCCAGGACAGTCGGTCCCTGCTCGAGGGAGGGGGTGGTGACGCCGGTGGGGTTTGGGTGGTGCCAGCGCGGGCCCCGGCCACGCGGAAGGCACAGCGGCCTCTCCCCCTCTTTTGCCCATCTTGCAAGAGCCCCCCGTAGCCAGCCCACGGCCCCGCGTTGAGGCAGGCGTGAGGCACCCTTAGCGTGGAACTGTGCCTGGCGGATGGGTCCACCGGGCGTGGGGGAGGTCTGTATGCCCTCGTGGTGGGCCCGGATGGTCCAGGCCTCTCGGGTGGGGTCCGAGCAGACGGGGTCGGGGGCTTGCGCCGCATCGCCGGTGCATCGCCGATGCGGCTCGATGTGGACCCCATTCCCTCCAAGCCGACGCATCGCCGATGCATCGCAGATGCATCGGCGATGCGGCGGGGTCCTCCGACCCCATCTACTCGGACCCCATCTAGGAGGCCTCTAAGTTGCGGGCAATACTTATATCCATATCCAGAGCGTCTTGGACTGTTTGGGAAGGGGTGCCGCAAGGGTTTGAGAAGGGGTGCCGCAAGGCCGAGTCGCACTGGATATGGATAAAAATCGGCCCTTCAGGGGCCAGATGTTTATCCATCTCCAGTGCGCCTCCAGTTTCTGCGGAAGGGAGCCCAAAACTCCAAGACTCACTGGATGTGGATCTCATTGTTGCCTGCCTCAATGCTGTCCCCCTCCCCGTAGCGTTATCCCCTCCCCCACCCCACTGGCGGCGATCGCGGCACAGCGGGCCGGAGCGCGGCAGTGGCAGGCCTCACGGCCCAGGAGAGCCGCCTCCGGCGGCCGGCCGCCACGCGGGTGGTGAGACGGGCTCCAGGCGGGCGGCCGCGCGCGGCCCAGGCCGTCAAAGGGGTGCTCCGCCGGCGGGAAGGCCACGGGCGGCGTCTGCGCGGGGCCCGCGCGCCCCCTCGGGGGTCTCCTCCTCCTCCTCCTCCTCCTCCTCCTCCTCCTCCTCCTCCTCGCTCCTCGCTCCTCGCTCCTCGCTCCTCCCTCCTCGCTCCTCCTCCTCCTCCTCCTCCTCCTCCTCCTCCTCCTCCTCCTCCTCCTCCTCCTCGCTCCTCCTCCTCCTCCTCCTCCTCCGCCTCCTCCTCCTCCTCCTCCTCCTCCTCCTCCTCCTCCTCCTCCTCCTCCTCCTCCTCCTCCTCCTCCTCGCTCCTCCTTGGATGCGCAACCCTTACAGGGGATGCGTCTGGGGCTGTCCGAGGGCCCGCGATTCGCTCAAGCATTATTTCTATCACTGCTCTCCCATGGATATGCTCGCCCGTAGACAGCTTCGAGCGGATCTCCCTGCGGCCCCCGTTCTGGACCCCCTCTTGGCTCTGGGCCTGATCCACCCAAGCCCCGAAGCCTTCCGTTTTATAGCGTTCTTTTTTCCAGCTTTATCGTTTGGCCCACCAAGAGAGTAAGGCCCACCCAATCCCATTTTCTCAGGAGGCCGCCCAAAGCCTCCTCCTCCTCCTCCTCCTCCTCCTCC